AGATTCTGGAGGAGGGAGGTAGGGGTCTGGGGGGCAGTGGAGCAGAGGGAGCACAAGGCATCAGGCTCATCAGCCCAAGCCTCATCATCCTCTCAGTTACCCAGTTCACTACAAGCCACTCCTTGATTAAAATGAGGGGGGTGGTGGAAGAGGCAGATCCCCTTCCTCCCAACAGCTGTGATCCACATTTAAGGTGGTGCATGGCAGAGCAGGAGAAAATCCTCCATTTTCCCCTGAAACAGAAGTCTGACCTGCAGTCATCCAAACCAGCATGACAGGTCTTCCTCAAGTGGAAAACAACCCCCCAGCTGGAGGTAATTCATTTTTCAGATCTTCAGTGCTGAAAAACCAAATCATTGTCCTGTCATGCCTGTAATGTTGCCTCCCATGGTTACAGCACACACCAAGCCGTGTAGCTAGGCAGACATCCGGCCTGCCTTTCTCCCCATAGACTGTTGTGGAAGCCAATTAAACTGTTACTTAATTTTCCACCTATTTTTTTTATCTCCCTTATGCACAAGGGGAAGCATTTAAAAATCTCCCCTAGCTACATTATGTAAATTTTCAAGTAAATTCTCCCTGAGTTGTAATTCAGCAGATTTATTGCTAAAAATGTCACCTGTCTCCAGCATGTGCACAAGCTGCATCCAAGGAAGGGTCACTCATCCAAAGCACAATGTCCCATTAGACACGTGTAGATGGGGAAAAGCTCCTCAGCTCCTCCTGTAGTGTGGCTCTGTGCCGAGGCAGCAGCAGCATCCCATGTGTAGGTGAGAGCAGAAGGGAAGAGGGAAGCAGCCTCATCCCAGACTATCCTGCTAATATTTATTGGGGCTCCAGCCATTTCCCAGCTCAGGCTCTGCCTTGACTGACTGGGGACAAGCAGAGCAGCACGTAATGCCTGCACTGGCAGATACTGAGCACTCAGCCAGGCAGCAACAAAGTGCAGAAGTGAAAAAAAGCCCTGTTCAAATTCAAACCTCTGCTTACACAGCTTTTGTTAATAAAGCCCCTTGACATTACCACGTATGGAAGAAAACACTGAAATTGTGGTGGTTTTATTTTGTATGCATTTGTGTGCAATCGGTTTTCCTCTGCTCTCTTTGTCAGATCTAATGTATGCCCCCTCCTGTGGGGTGCTTCCTCTGAAACACGTGGGAGCTCACCATGCAACATTTTGTCCTGGACCTGTCATATGCAGGGGTGCTGTGTGCCCAGGTGCCCAGGGAGTGAAGGACAGGGGTCTGGCATAAGCCCTTCCATGGTGGGCTGTATCTGTGGGGAGCTGTTTTCTCCATGGAAACCCTCAATGCTTTTGTAAGAGATACTGCAGGAACTCCACATCCTTCCTTGGCAGAGTCTTCTCTCTCCTCTAATGGACTTGACACAGCCAGCCTCTAGCCACTCAGGTGTGATGAAACTATGGAGCTCTTGGTATATGGAGATACTGTTTCCACATGGAAACACTATCTAAAGGTATGTGGTAGTGCTCTGGTGCTGAATTCCAGTGATGGAAAGGGATTTGGGCAAAATTTATAGGAAGAAGTGTCAAAGTACCTTGGAAAAGGGTACTGCTGGTTTCCAGAGACACACAGAGACTGAATGCAGATCTGAACCTCCCTGAAGATGATCTATGGATTCTGATTCATTTATGGAGCAGCCTGATGTGATTCAGGTCAAAGACATCATCAGAAATAATGAACACACAACTTCTCACTTTGCTTTATGGTTTAATATCTCTTTTTGCTAATCATAAGCTATAGGATATCTAATTATTCTAACTTTTGTTTTTGGAAAGTAATAGGTCATATTTGTGGGCTAGCTTGAGAGCCTTCTCTTGGAGTCTAAGGGTGAAATTTGAACAGGACAGAATAGAATAGAATAGAATAGTTCCAGTTGGAAGAGACCTTTGGATTTGGTCCACTGTGACAAATGCTTTGAGTTAGATTACACCAAATGCCCTCAATAGATCCTATGCAGTATGAATTATACTAGGATTCTAAATGTTTTGAGAAATTTCTTGCATAACAAGTGAAGGCATGAATTCAAAGTTAAATGGGATTTTGCAATCACTCCTCGACAGAAAACTCAACTCTGCAATTGAGCCATTGGTTCAGCTATAAGTAGACATGCAGTCTGGTATGGAGTATGTGTATCTTCAGGGACAGCTATTGGGAAGAAACAGATCCAGGCTATTTCCCTGCATTACCCTATGCATCCCCCATATCATTACCATCCAGTTCCTTGAGCTATGTAGACACTAATAATATATTACACAAAATTGTGCATCCCTTTTATCCCAAGGTACTGAAGAACTGAGATGGTTCTTCACACAGTACCCAAAGCCTGAACAGAAAATTGAATGAACACTTATTTGGCAGCAACTGCCATAGCAGCAACTTTCTGTAGGTTATCCTAATGGATTTATCACCCTGAACTAAGCCCTGACCATCTGTTCTATTGTCTCATTACAAACACAGAAAAAGCTAATTTGTGATTGCATCATAAAAAAGTAAAATATAAATGATTTAAGAGTAGGGCATGCTTCACACTCTGATTAGGAAAATTACTCTCTTCCACAGAGTGATTTCCCTGATAACAGAGTTTGCCTTTTTCCCAGCAAATGGGAATTACTGAGGAATGAGGATTGCTAGAACAAGTTTTATTCCCACTCATTCATCTTAGACGTATTTTAAATTTGGGATTAATGTAAGTGAAGCTATGAATCTTCTTTCCTTCTCTCTTAGGTGAGCCTCCAAAGATTTATTTTTGTTGGAAAAACTAGCATTCTGTTCTCAAGGCATGAGCTGGTGTTCCATTTGATGAAAATGAAGTGCCTGGTAGCAATCTGGCCCAGCACACCCTGCTCCCACTGGAACAGGATTTGGGGTTTCTTTTCCAGGACCTGTCTGAGCAACTCTGAGCTGAGCAAAAA